GGTTCATTTCGTAAAAAAATCGGTACACAATGAGAACAAACATCATAAGTTTTCTAAGCCGTTCAATAATCTCGCAGATCGTGGTTTATCGGGTCTAAAACCACTCGGCTGCGCCTCGTGTTTTATACCCGATAAAACACTCCTGCTCGTTTATTAAACATTACATATAATAAGGTATAAGGTTTTATAGAAAATAAAAAGGTGTTTTACTCACGCTTCAATCAGATCGCATAAATAACCATAAACATGTGTTGCTTCCTCGCGGTCCTCAATAATCGGTAACCACGACAACCACAATGGAATGACCTCGTCGACATTGATGTTACCATGGTTATATTTACAGATTTTAGTGACGGCTGAGATGGCGTTTTCTGTCGCGTTGATATTTTCCCGTGATCTGGATTGGGGATCGCTTATGACTCGGTATAACAAGGGTAGGGCCTCTGAATAGATTCAAATAAAGATAACAATGCTCAACATGTGATTGTACGTAGGTAACAAATTAAACATCCTTCGGACCTTATTTTATAACATACACTTATTTAAATAAAGTTAGTCAACAAAAACCTAGAAAGCTGAGATCACTGAGCATCATGGGAAACTTTTCATATCAAAAAACATATATATACAAAGATTTTTTTAAATACAAACTGCAGCTCGATGATGCTCAGAAGAGGTGAGACTGTAACCGGTAAAAGATTCGCAAGTCCATGAACAGTTATCAAGCGGTTGAACGTGCAAAATGAATCTACCCATAATCCTGATCGGCCTCAGCTTTATAGCTTTTCAGGTGACTAACTTTATTGAAATAAGTGTATACACCTATTTCAGAAATCGTTGTCGCACCAAAAGCCTCACGCAACAAGCCAAGACCGCAGAGAACGCCGGTACTTTCAGCTGTAATTAGTTTATTCATGGTGCATTTTCATTTATTGACTTCACAAATTGCTCCAAGCAAGGCTGCTTGAGATGATAATTAGTGGAGAGTTATAACCACTTGCATTAACCATGAATAAATCAATTATAATTAAAAGTACCGACGTTCTCTGGAGCCTTGGCTTGTTACTTGAGGCTCTTGGTGCGACAACTATCTTCGAAATAGGTGTATATAACGTATACACATGCGATGCATTTATGCAGAGGTAGCAAAATGTCGCTTTCTTTCTTTCTTTTTCTTTTTTTAATTTTATTCATTTGTTTCTAAAGCTTTGTTGGACGGCCTATGATTTTATCTGGGGAAAAATGTATAACATTGCTCTTACCTGCACAGGCCGGTGCGTAGTCCTTGGATGATATAGGCATAATACCCACCCCATAGCATGCGGCCTGAAAACATGAACGAAATAGAACGAAAGTGAAATGGCATTTCGGTTACATAATAACGCTTAGTGAAGTATAAACAAAGTAGTCGAATTAGATGTGTGTGAAGCTGCGCTGTAGTTCTCGAACCACAGAACAATTGTTTTACTAGTAGCACACTCATGAACTTAATACACATACTTCTATGACTTTTCGACTAAATCGTTCATAAAAAAATACACTTCGACCTTTGACCCTAAATGGCAAAAATCTAGTGAAATTCTTGGAGAATTCAGAAACAGTCGCCATCTTGGTTGCTCTAACAATAGAAGCTTCATGGGGAATGCTTTGTATAGTCAACCAATATGGCGGCTATGACGTAACATACACCCCAAGAATAGGAGGATACCAATCAAACAGCCGCCATCTTGGTTGCTCAGTCTAACAATAGAAGCTTCAT